GAGTAGAGATTAGAGCATCTCACTAACAATGGTTTAGGCCCATACTTAAGAAACTATTTCTTGATACTGGCAGTGCTTTCCAGTGATACCCTGATTTCTAGCTTTCCTCCCTTGTTTTGAGGAAAGTAATAGTGAAGCAGCCTCCTGTGTGATCTGGAGTCCTAAGACTTCTTTACTACCTTCTGTTTAATTTACAAAAATGGTGGTAGTCTTCCTGGTGGATTATGATGGACAAAGAAAGATCAAGTGTCCATGCTCATTTGGTCTGTCGAGAATTTTTGTTAATTTGTATAAGGTGGCATGGGTATATTTATAAACCCTGGACAAGTTAAGATTAGGTTTCTTTTTTGTATGGCTTCATCCTCTTGTCTGCAAGAGGACTCGAGGGACAGTACTAGACAGTAACTTCTCCCTCAGTGGCTTGGCATTGTTCCTTCCCCTACCCCCCTCGGATTTTCTCTATACAATCAGACCTATCTTATACAACACGTGTTGGTTTTCGTTCCTTCCTGCTCCTACAAGATGAAGGTTGCAGATCTGTTGCTGGGTCGAGAAGCTGTTGTTCACTGAGGGAAGGACTGAATCGATTGACTCTGATTTTGTAATTTGTGAACCCTCTGACTTGAGTTCTATCACCATTTTCTAGGACTTGTACAGAAGTTATGTTTGTGATTGAGGGCACCATGGAGGAGCATGCAACTCCTATTCTCCTCTTAGTGCTTCACTGTTCACTTTTCCCCCACACTCCCGGGGGAGAATGCAGATAAAATAATTTTGGACCTGTGTCTTACTACCTGCCTGTAAACTGCTGCTGCTCTGATATTACCTACTTCTAGTACAGCTGGTAAATAACCTTTATTGAAAGAGGATAGAAGATTCTTACTTATTCTTTCCTTCCCTCTCCCCTTTCTGAATCTCCAGTCTCTGCTTTCCTAACTCTCTGCCACTGGAACAGTAACTAATTCCAAACTGTGAAGATGCTATTTTAAAGAGCAGGCAAAATGAAATATTTAAATGTATGGAGCGTGAATGTTACCTACTTTTCTGATCTGACAAAAATCAGCACTTTTTTTTCAAACTCCCCTCTGAAATCCTGACACACTTTAAATCCATATTATATCTTATCCTGTATAAGTGGCTAGTTCCTCAACATACAGCAGGAGGCACTACTGTAATGCCCACCTTGTGGTGGGCTTACAGTATTTGCCTTGTGCAGGAGCAATATCAAGAATAAGAGTGGTGTCACTTATTTCTTCCAAGTAGCTAGTGCAGCTTCAGTATAGTTTAGCAGGGTACAAGTGCAAAGAGTTTAGTAGCTGTACAGAAATGACAATCTATATTGTGGATTGTGCTTGCTGGGCAGCTAAAATGTGATTTAACTACAGACTACTGTTAATATGAAGGGGTGGCAGGGAATTAATTTGACTGTTAAAAAAATTGATGTTCCAGTTTTCTTACTATTGTAGCCTTGTAACTTAAGTGTTTTGGGTGGCGGGGATTATATCTCCACAGCTGAAGAGCTCCCTTTCTCTGCTACAAAGAAGCTTTGACAACCTGAACAAGACCCAGAATAGCAAGACTGAGAGTTAACCTCACAAAAGCCTACACAAGAATGAAGACGCGAGGGGTGGGGTTGGTGAGGTTGGGGGTGGACATTCTGCTGTCTCAGGACTTTTTTTTTTTTAATTTTTGCTCAGCAGGTGCCTCTAATAAAGGTCTCGGGATAAAACAAGGTGGATTTGGATCTCCCCTAGCTCTGAGAAACCTTCCTCAGTGCTCCCCTAAATATGCCTTTTGTTTTTTCTTGTGAACGGTGCACAGCTTGGAATTCCTTAGTGTGAGTGAGTGAAAACTTTTTGTACTGTACGGTAACTGTGATGTGCAAATTACAAGATGAAAACCAACCTTGGCAGAACAGTGTTTGTATTCGAATGAAATCTAAACTTTGGATTGATATGAAGAATCTTACTCTGACAGAGAGAAATAACGGGGTGGTTTGCACCTGCAGGATATTTGTATGCTTCCTCTGATGCATCCTCTACAAAACAAGACACCATTTTTAGAGGGCTTTTCAGTTTCACTCAGCATTAGCTGAAATATTCCCTGACTCTTTTTTAGGTCTATCTCTGTTCTAGCCCATTTTCCCCTTTCCCGTGCCACACCAATCCCCAAGAAAGGTTTCCTCTCCTCTCCTTTTGTAATTCCTATCAGAGGTGATGTTTTCTTACCTCCTGGCCTGAGCTTTCCCAAATGGCTTGAGTGGGGAAACTGGAGGAGCATTTTGGTCAAGGAAACAGTGTTACCAACTTGGTGGTCTTTTCCTTTCTCTTTTTGGTGCCTTTTTCTTGGTCTCTTTTCTTTCCTCCTTGGTCTCTTTTTTTTTTTTTTTTTTTTTCTTGGTTACATTCTCTTTTCTTTCTTATCACGTGGGTGTTTCTAGAATCATGCCAGATCTACATTACAGAAGCAGCTAAGTGTAATCATCTTAGGCTGGGCTGCAAACAAGTTTTTTGTAACTTATAAGGATGGGCTTTCATGCCAGTATAGACTTTGGTGGGGAAGAGCATGACCAAGATGCATGTGATTTAAAATACAGGTTTCCCTCACTTTATACAGGTTTTGCATTTGCTGTTATGCGATGACCTTTTTATACCAAAAATTTGTTGTATGCAAGGTAGATTTAGTGTGGTGGAAGCCCACAGTCAGCTGCTTTGTGCAGTGCATTGTGGGAGTGACATGCACCAAAATAGTTTCCTGTGTGGATCTGTGCTCTTTGTTCGTTGTCTGTGAAGTGTCTTTGTAGTTGCTATCTCCACTATGGTAACATTCACCACCACCCTGTGCTTGTGTCCTGTCTGCTGTTGGCAAGTACCAAAACTGTCTTGTAAAAGTGGTAGAAATGGGTCTGGGGGTCAGTACAGTCGAGGTCTTGGAACGTATCCCTATTTGTTGCATTGTAAAGTGAGTTCCCTTTATGTGAATTTGAGTTGTATGTGCGTTCCTGGAAAATGGTGCATAGCATAAAGTGAGGGAAACCTGTATGTTGAAGATGGCTATCTTATAACATAGGCAGGGCCACTGTTTTCTTCACTAGTGTATGTTAGGTTTGACTGGAACAAACCTGTTTACTGACCTGGTACGTAGTATAGTACTTGAATTCTTTTAAAGCAATATATCCAGTTGAAACTTAGGCCCTCTTTTAAATAACATATACATTTCTCCCATAGTCAAGGTTTATCACTGTCCTCTCATCAGGTTATAACTCACTTTTAATTCTTTCTAGTGCAGATGAGATTGCTTAAGTGATTTTAAAACTAGAGTATTTTGGCTATAATTTATATCTAAACTAACAGAGCTGTGTTACAACCTTATTGTCCTAGGATTCTTGCCAGGTCTCCTGACAAGGCTATAGTTGTAGTTAATGTGAAGTAGAAGACATGGCACTTTGCGGCAGTGGAAGTGTGAGCTCAATGCTGTGCTCTGTATCCACTCGCCAGAACGGGCCAAGTTGGTGACACTTAAGGTATTATTTCCTGCTGTTGATATATCGGTGTGTCCTTTCGTATGTGGGTGGATATTAGCAGCTATGTTTAGCAGCTAAGAGGCGAGGCTGTGGTTTGTCAACCATTGCTTGAAACATTGTGGCTTGTTTTTTGGCCATACGTTATACATGCATGCCAATATGTTGTCACTATGAAGAGCAAAACAATCTGCTAGCAATTTTTATTGATCAGGAAAGATTTTTTTTCTTTTTAGTTGCTCTCCTTCCCCTGCGCCCCCCTCCCCCCCTTTTTTACAGACTTTGCAATGTGAGCCTGCTTTTTTTTTTTTTTTTATAGAAGGTCGTTTTAATAGATTTTTTTTTTTCTCCCTATTATAAGTTCTTCCCAGAACGGTAGTGTTTATTTGGGATGTTCTTGTTGAGGAGCTGCTGCTGCTGTTCAGGTCAGTTTCCTGGGAGCCATTGCGTGGCCTAGTTTACACTCAGCTGAATCTTTTATTTTTGGGTTTTGTTGTGTTGTCTCTTTTAACAAAAGTGGGTAATGTTACAAGAATTGTAACTGGAAGAGTTTTGTGCATGGCTGTTGATCCACTTGTTTTGACGCCAGAGGCAGCATCCATACAAAAGCAATCATCTCGGTTTAACCGGATCCATGAAACAGCACACCTCGTATGAAGAGGCGGGGGGTCAGCCGTGGCAGGCTGAAGTTGGGGCAGAGCAGCACCATGGAGATGAGCTGGTTGGGAGACGCATGAGCTTTCGTCATTGTAGCCACCAAAGTAGGTCGTTGCTTACGAAAGGCTTGAAAGTGCTGCCCTGACATCTACCTTTTAGACAGACCCAGACTCTGGAAGGAGGACAAGGGTCATTTGGGGGTGGCCATGAAGAAGGCGGCTCTAGGTAAGGGGAGGGTGAAGCCCTGAGCAGACTACCTCCTGGAGGTGGGCCAGCATGGGCTCCATGCACACAGGCCTGGGCTAGACTGGGATTGACCCCAGTGTTGCCAGCTCTCATGATTTTTGGCATTAAAGTCCACGCTTTAGGAATGTGAGTTAGCTCTTTCTTTTATATGTCCTGCTGGACTCGGTGTGACCTCCGGAGGAAGCCCCAGGGGCAGAGGCCTTGAATTCTGGCCAGGCGTGGGGGGGGGGTGCCCTTGTGACGTAGCTCTGGCTAGAATATGCGCCTATGACGTAGCTGTGCCTGGAACGTGCCGGCCGGGATACCTGTGTGACGTCGTTGCGCAACAAACTGGCACCCTCTGGGTTCCCCCCGCGGTATAGCTCCTGCGGCCAGACGCTCTGCCCCGAGCAGCCAACTGTTGCGTTCGCCCTTCAAGCCGGTTTGTGTGACGTCACAGACGGCCCAGTCCCGCCTCTGCAGCGCTAGCATTGGCCGGGGCGGCGCTCGGCGTTCGGATGGGCGGGGGGGGCGGGGCCCGAGCCAATCGGCGCTTCCCCTGCGCTCCGAGGGGCGTGGCCTGGGTGGGGTGGCCGGGCAGAGCGGGGCTATGGCCGGCGGCGCGGGACGGGCTGGTCCCGGCCCGGAGGAGTCGCTGTGCTGCTGCGAGTACGTGGCCCGCGGCGGGGAGCGCGCGCACCTGGCAGCGGCGCTGTGCGACTGCCAAGACCTGGACGAGGGCTGCGACAGGTAGGGGAAGGGGAACGAAGGGCAGCACCAGGGCAGGCAGGGAGAGCAGAAGATCAGGCAGGCTGTGTGGGGCGGGGAGGAGGAAGCGGAGCAGGAGGTCAGGCAAGGCTGCGTGGGGCACAGAGCAGAAGGCAGTGTAGGAGATCAGGCAGGGGTGTGAGGCAGGGAGCAGCAGAAAGAGGAGGAGATAAGGGAAGAAGTAGGAAGGAGAGCAGGAACTCGGGGAGCACAGGGCACAGTAGAAAGCAGAGCAAGAGATCAGGTGGAGAACTGAAAGCAGAGCAGAAGATCAGGCAGGGAACATGGGACAGGGAGTAGAAAGTAGCAGCAGCAGGATGTATGGGGCAGGGAGTGTAAAGCAGGGAGCAGAAGGCAGAGCAGGAGATCAGGTAGGGAGCATGGGGCAGGGAACAAAGCAGCAGCAGGTCAAGCAGGGGCATGAGACTGAACAGACAGCAAGAGATCAGGCAGGGAGCAGAAAGCAGAGCAGGTGTTTGGGCAGAGAGCACAAGGAAGCGTATCAGGCTGGGGAGGGGGATCAGAGGGAGGGTGCAGGGCTAATTTGTGGTACGCCTGCGCAGAAGGTTGGCTGCTGCTGCTCTAAGCAAAGCCCCATGCCCCACTGGCGTGGAGGCTTGGCAATGGGTGCTGGAAGGCAAAGCTGGCCTAGCTCCAGCCCCCCCAGTTCTGCTTCAGGAGGCTTAGGGTGGTAATGTGAGGCTGCTGGCATTGGCCTGGAGTCTCTCTGCATCTGGAGGCCAGAAGCCTGCTCCCTTGGGCTACTGAGGCGGCCCCGGGGAGTGGGAGGAAAGGGCTGTGCTGGTCCTCTCCTCCGAGACACCCACCAGTTGCTCTGAACAGGCACTGCAAGGTGATGAATTGGCTGTGAAAACACTGTTGGGTTGGAACTGGTTTCTGGATCCAGGTTGGGTTTGTTAAAGTTCGCAGTTGGAATCGGACATGATGGAGACTAGGGGAAAAATGGGGATCTGGTTTTAATAGAGCAATAACCTTGCAGTAATCTTTTTAGAGAGGGTTTTTTTTTTTCTTCCCCAGAGGCACAGTCTGTGTCCCAGAAAGATTAAATCTACAGCAGAGAGACTCAGGCTGTGGAAGTGGGGAGGGATCTGTGGTATGAGAGTTAATGCGAACCATTTACGAAGCACTGGAGCCTCATGGTTTCTGCCAGGTTTTGAGGAGAGGCTGAGCTCTGGGAGGAGCAATCAGCACAGAAGTGTTCTCTTGGCTCCGGAGTGGGATGTGAACAGATGCCTGTGCTTTCCTCTAACAGGTTGCTGACGTGCAGATCTCTGCCCCCGGGAATGCTGGAACGAATCGCAGACACTGTCTCAGACCGCTTCCGCATCCCCTGGTTTACAGGGGCTGTAAAGGTCAATGTCAGCCTCATCCCCCCTCTGGTCTTGCTGCCCATCTTCCTCCATGTTGCAGCTTTGCACTTCCTGTTGGCTTTTGTCATCCTGGCATCCCTTCCTATCGTGGTGCTGTGGTACTACTACCTCACCCACAGGCGGAAGGAGCAGACTCTCTTCTTCTTAAGCCTGGGCCTGTTCTCCCTGGGCTACATGTACTACGTGTTCCTCCGGGAAGTGGTGCCCCAAGGCCACGTGCACCATGCTCAGGTGGCTCTCCTCACCTGTGGGCTGGTTCTCATGCTGGTGGCCTTGTCTCGAGCCAAGAGAGACCCTGGCTACCTTCCCAGCTGTACAAGCAGTGACAAATCACCGTGTCAAGGCAGCACCGAGTTGCCAAGCAGGAAAGTCCTGGGCATTGCCAGTGGGCTCCAGGGAGCAGCTGGGCCTGGTGTCCCCAGCAGCCGTGTTGTGAATGGGGACACCAAGGGCTATTCCCGAACACCTGCTGAGGGATCCGCCGAGGCAAAGGAGGACTGGTGCCCCAAGTGCCAGGTGGTTCAGCCAGCCCGAGCTGGGCACTGCCGGCTGTGTGGCAGGTGTGTACGGAGACTGGACCATCACTGTGTCTGGTAGGTTCTGTGAGCTGCTGAGATGGCTTTTTGTGGTCTCTGGTCTGCATGACAGATCAGGCTGCTTCTAGCGAGGGACTCGCAGGCTTTCCCTTCTATATTCAGAGCTGTTCTTTGCCCCATATGAGGTGACCAGGAGCCACTGATGTAGCAGACTAGCGTTTGGTCTCTACACCCTTCTTTGCAGGAAACCCTTCAGCTGTCGTTCTAGAGCTGTGCTAAACCCCTGCAGTGGGATTGGACAAAAGGGACATGGGCTTCTTGCTGCCTTTCCAATGTGCTCTGAACAGGAGCAGATGTGACCTGCTCAAGTGCCTGCAATTTGTATTGCCCTGGGAGCTGCCTTGGTGCTACTGCAGTAGAGGGGAGAGCGTAAAGCCCAGGCACCTCTGACAAGGTTGCCACCTCCCTCTCTTAGGGCCCCCTCTGTCAGGCAGTCTGCAGTGTGTGGGCGACTCCCATAGGAGTCCTTTGTATCTAGATACCATCTAGATGAGTGGTTCCCAACCTTTTTAGACCGTGGACTGGAAGTGACCATGGAAGCTGCAGTCCAGAAGTGACCGGCATACTGCGAAGCAGCAGCCAACCTTTTTTTATACTCGGTATAAAAAATTGGGCTACCGGTCCGCAGTATGCTGGTCACTTCCGGACTTGTAGATGAGCAGCCAACCCTTTACGGCCCAGTACAGGGCTGCGGCTCAGGGGCTGGGAACCTCTGACCTAGATCACTGCCCGAGGCCCATAAGCGATTTTCTTTGCCTGCTGGCTGTTATATAGATGCACCTTAGAGCCAGATTTCCTGACAGAAGAGAATGAGGGAGATGCAAAGTATTTAACCCCTTCCTTTCTTTGCTCATTGGAGGATTAACAACTGTGTCGGGGAGCAGAACCACCAAGCATTCATCCTCGTACTCTCCTTCTTCCTGCTCACGGCTGTGTACGGGATCGTGCTGACCCTGAACACCATCTGCAGAGGCCAGGCCACATTCTTGGCGCTGTTCTACTGCCCAGGGGTCTATTCAGACTACAGGTGAGAAATCTGCTCTGGGCCAGGATGAGGGGTGGGGACTTTAGGCCTTTCCTGAGAGGTCGTACTGTGGAGCTCTGCTCCCTTTTCTCCTGCAGCTGCTGACAGGTTGCCCCTCCATCCCCTGTGGTCAGCATCATGCCAAACATCCCATGTATTTACCTCGCCACAGCTCTGAGCAAGCACTCTGCTCATTTTACAGATAGGGAAGCTGAGGCACAGTAAACTTGCCAGTGTCATATAAACAAGTCTTTGGCAGGATTTGAAAGTAGGTCCCCTGTGCCTTTAAACAACTTGGTCCTTTCTTCCTGCTCTGTCCTTTCTCCCATCCTCAGTGTGTGAGGCTTCCAACCCAATGTTCTCTCACTTAATTCCTTTATAGTCCCTGCTATTAGAGTCCCAAGCCTTTCCACCCTCCCCGCTCACAGCCTTGGTGTGTTCACCTTGGCTGGCTGCATCTTATCCCTTCCCCTTCTTTCTTAGTTTGTCATCCCTTAGTGCCAGTATGTGTGTTCCAGTATCTCCTAAAACCTTAGAACCAGATCAGGTTTTCAGTATGCTAAGCACCTAGGAAGAGTTGACCCTAAACTTCTGTGAACTTGGCTTCAAAGGGCTTATGGTCTGAATAAGAGGGTGTTGGGGGCAGGAGGATTGGGTTGGAAGAATGCAAGGAAGTGGTCAGGGTGACAGTTAGCAAAGGAAGTGCCAGGCCCATGTTTTGGTGGGATTTTTAGATGTGTGGTATAGCTGGGCAATGCCCAGGAAGTAGGGAAGAGAAAGGTTGATTGGAATGAGGAAGAAGTTGTAGGGAAGGGTGTTGCCATGACTAGATCAGAGTCCAACGCAGATTGAGGTGACAGTGGCTGGTGCTGGCTGCTGCCAGGTGGGGTGGGACCTTTCTGTTTAGGATGCCAGTCAGGTAAGTCAGGCATCCTGGTTCTTCTCCCTGCTTCCCCCCATGACTTGCTGTACAACCCATGGCATATAACTTCACTCCTGTGGGCATCTGTGTGTCCACCAAGAAGGAGGTGGAGTTAATACCCCTCTCTGTGGGAGGTGGCAAAAGGGCTGGCCTAGTAAGAGAGCACTGGGCTGCACCACAATGGCACTTAGGTTCTACTTCTGGCTGGGCCACTGGCTCCGAGTGCCTGTGGGCAAGTTGCTTCACCTGCCTGTGCCTCAGTTTCCCCATCTGTATAATATGGGTAAGAGTTTTCCTGCAAAGAGCACTGTGCGAGACCAAGGCATTGTTTCACCATTGCCCTGTGTCAGTTTAACTTGTGGTGCAAATGTCATTGCATCGTTATGGAGGGTTGCTGTGAGGTTTTAATGTTTGGAAAGGCCTGGGCTCATCTGAGGCAAGGGGCTGCAGAAGAACAACACTTGGCTGTTGTAAGTCGTGAGGAAAGTGGTTGAAGGGTTGTGTTACAAAGGGAAAGCAGCTGTGCCAAAACCTAAAAGGCTGCCATCTCCCATCTCTCTCTCTCTCTCTTTTATCCTTGCTGCCAGTTCTGCTCTGTCATTTACCTGTGTGTGGTACTGCACCATTGTGACGTCTGGCATGGGCTACATCCTCCTCATCCAGCTGCTGAACATCAGCTACAATGTGACCGAGAGGGAAGCTCGGATGGCTCTCCGGGACAACACTGGGCGTCGACTTTTGGGCGGGTTGGTGGTAGATACGGGTCAGTATAACCGAGGTTTCCTATGCAACTGGGGCCAGTTCTTGAGTCTGGGGTCACCTGCCCCACTGCGTTGTGCTGAAGACATAGTGTGAATGCGGCCTTCTTGCTGATCACATTGACTTGCAGTGGAAGTGAATGCTGCCTTCCTTCCACTGGGCTCCCAACACTATTTCATTCTGGGTTGACTTGCGGGCTGCTCATATCAGCATCTAAAGAGGCACTGAAAGGCAGATGCTTCTCACAGGCTGGCAGCCAGCAGCAGGTAGCATAACCAGTTAAGCCATACACACAGACTGTGGGGTTGGGGAGAAGACACCATCCTTCTTTCCTGCTCATCTCCATCATAAAGTGATTTGTGCACAGGGTTCACCAGGCTGGCACAGGACTTAGAGCCTGGGCTCTGGCAGGTCTGCACTCATGCATCAAGATCGATGCCATCCAGTGCCGTACTTCAAGGCCTCATTGTAGGGGTCAGGATGAAGTCCCTTGCTGTTCCTTCCACCCCTTTTTCACCCACATGCAATATTTTGCAGCTGAGTGGATGCCTGGAGCCAAGAGCAAACCTGCCCACTGCCTGGGGCAGGGTTTCAGATGGCTTGGAGGATATTTAAAAAGGGCACCATCTAGTGGTTGCTTTTTTTTCCTGTTGGACCCCTCCCTTCTCTCTTGTGCATCATTCTCCATCTTTCCTTCCATCCATCAGTGTTAGTGCTTCTATTAAGTGCCTTTGTGAGCAACACAACTCTAGGGTTGTCTGAAACCATCTCGGCTCTTAGCCTGCCAAAAGGTGTTATTCCATCCCTGTCTGTGACAGAGTGAGAAGGGAAGACTGGTCCCATTTCATGCAATAGTCCTCTCTCATCTCTGGCGCCCTGGGGAGACTGAGTTAATCCCAGGACTTGACTTGATTTCCTTGAAATATTTTTAGCTCTGTTGGCAACTTCAGTCATCAGAGAGCTGGTAAATATTTTCCAAGGAGGAAAGCTGTCAGTTCCTAAGTAACTTAGTAAGTAGTATGTTGTAGTTGTAATGGACCAGGGAGATGACAGAAGCAAGATTTGTGACATGAGATCATATATCTTTTCTTGGCCCACCTTGTAGAGATGGGAAGATGACATTTTAGGCTAGAAGTGTTGTGTCAGGACTGGCAGAGCAAGTCACATTCCAAGCTAAGGACAAGCAATTAAAATAATTGCTTTAGTTTAACCAAATTTGGTTAATGAATTTGACCATGTGAAAAGGAGGGGGGTGTTAGTCAACTGTGGGCCACTTCCCTCAGGTGGTAAAGTTCATGAACAAAATTCTAACATGCTTTCTGTTCTTAGTTCCCTCTTGGAGCGTGACTGCCTCTTCCCCAGACATGATGAAGTTTGCATCCTATCTCCCTATAAGTAGGTCTAATAAGTAGCTCTGGAGAGGAGCTGGTCTTTGAGGGTGGGCAAATAGTCCCTTGTCTGATGATGCTACTGCCTTTATAATGACCTCTGTCCTCATCAGGAGGAAGGGTGTGTGGGGGGGTGGTGGTGGTGGGGTTGTCTTCTCCTGGTAGCATCATTTCAATCCTTCTATTCTATGATTTGTGATAGATGGCTCCCCACAGAAATTCTGCATTTTGGCTCCTTCTCTTCCATTCATTGAGAATTTGTATGGGTCCTGATAATCAACCTGTTTTTCAAAGGAGCCACAAAGGTGAGAACAGAATGATCCTAGAAGCAGGGGCTGAAGGAAGGACCCCAGAGGAGGCACCTGAATGAAAACACCAGCTTGGTGTGGTGCTAGATGATCTGATGTCTTGCTTCACCTGCACTTCCCTGGGCTTCTATTTCAGGCAAAATGTGTGAGCTGGTGTGTTTTCAATCAGTATGGTTATGAAACACCTTCATAATTTGGCATATGTGGCTAGAAAAGCCCAGGACTTTGAGAGCAAAGCAGTACTAATGAGCTGAGCAGAGCTGAGATGCAAGAGTAGAGATGGGAGGAATTTTGCTCTAATTACTGATAAATGTTCACTCCATTACTTAGTTACCTGTGCTGGAAGACAGCATGGGGCTGCTTGGAGACTGGAATTTGGCACAAGAAGCTGTCCCTTCCAAACAGCTGGTAGAGGCCTTTGGTAAAGAATGTGGAGGGCCAAGTTTGTCTTACTACTGTAACTTTGGCCCCCAGAACTGTCAGCTCAACACCTTTCACAACCATTGTACGTACTTGCAACACACTGCCTAAATTAAGTTGAAATAATGACACTTTGCACTGTTCTGTTCTTTGTAGCAGCGTGTGTGCTTTCCATAACGCAGAGGTAATTGGTGAGTCTTAGCGGGCTGTTGCGCTTGGAGCCCAGAGATGTGGAAAGAACTTTTATTTGATTTCTTTTTTGTGAATAGTTCTTTCTCACTTCCTTCCTCTGACTGGGGATGACCCAAGGAAAGTGGAGACTCCAGCCCCCTGCTGATCCCTGATGCAAAATGAAGATCAGTTGCACATCTTGTGTTAATCCCTCCAGCAGCTAGGAGAGACTCAGATTTCATCTGGGACTGGAAGTCTGAGCCCAGGGTCATGCTTGCATCAAAAGCTTTACGTCCATGCTAATTAGCTGCAAGTGTTTCCATAGCAAGAATGTGTATAGAGGGGGCCTGCTGGGATATGCTGAAATCAAGGGGGAGCCTGTAGGGAGGGGAATCTTTATGGCACTGCACTGATCTCTCTACCTTGGCTCGACAGCAGGAAAGTAGTTTGGCACACCTCTTTCCTGTTGGGACTTTGGAAAGGCTTGAGAGAGATGCCTTCTGAGCCAAAAATTTAAAAAGGCACTTTGAAGGTGCATAGTTTAGAGCACAGAATGGGGTGGGGAGGGTGGCTTCCCTTCCCTTCCTTGCTCCAGGCTTCCCTCAATCAAATGAGGGAACCGGCGTGCTGGTTTGTGTGTACAGCATCCTTTTGTAGTGGGAATCAGAACTGCCTGGACACAGCCTGGATTTTTGCAGCAGCAGATCTGTGGACTCTCCGTATGGAGCAACAAGGCCATAAATTGCACCCTGTTTTTTTTTTTTAATGGCCACCACCTTGTTTACAATCCAAGCCTTTCCCTTGGAAGATTACCTCATGAATGCCTTCTTGGAGCTGGAAAGCACAGTCAGAGCAGGAATAGGCAGAAGAATGTGGCCATGCACTGCAAACTTTGCATTTCTGATTGTTGGACCTTCCTTTGAATACCCACAGCTATTAGCAGCAAGTCAATGAAGGGTAACTACCCCACAACGTTGGTAGGGATGGTGGACTGTCTCGTGCGAAGAATGTTCTGTTTTACTCGTCTTGTCTTGTTTAACCCCATGTGGCCTCACTGGTAGTAGAAAGCTAATATCTGGTATGTTGTGGTGGGATTATAAAGGATTGGCTTTGGGGTCTGGGAGGAAAGGGCAGCAGCATGAAACTAACAGCCTGTTGGAGCACTGTGGTGTAGTAAGCTGGGTCACGGGGGGAGGTTGGCTGGAGAGGTGGGCTCCAGGTTGGGCACCCTGCTGAGATCAACTGATGCTCAAGTGGAAGCTCCTCAAGGCAAGGTCATGCTTTTGTGTGTGAAGTATCATGCATACATGTATAGCAATGAAGAAATATAGTCCAGGCCCTTCAGAGTTCTTGCTGTGCAGTGGCAGAGTTTAAAGCTGTTCCAAAAAAACCCCCCAAACAAACCAGGGAAGGACTTCAGCCATTTTTTTTTTCCCTTTTAACTTGCTTTTCTCCCATCAAAATGTTGGAATGGATGTTTTATCCTCCCCCCTTTGTGTTCTCCTTTTGAGGCTTGTACTGTTACTCTGTGGTGGGCATTGTGCAGGCCAGGGTGAACCTGAAAGAGCCAAGACTCTCATAACACTTGCCTACTGTTGTGGTATCCAACCCATGCACAAATACTAGTGCCCTATTGTTTGGTGAGTTCAGTGCTGCTGATGCACTAGTTGCATGTTGCGAGCGATAACTTGGCATTCTGCCTTAACTGTGTCTTCTCAGCCATGTGTTTGTTCTGTGGTAGACACTCTTGTAGACCAGTCTTAGGACTATGTAACCCATCCCCACCACTTAACCTTTAGGGTTGGTTGTGTTTTTTTGTTTTTTTTTTTTGTTTTTTGTTTTTTTTTTTTTCAAATGACAGTACTCACTGCTGACCAAGAATTGCCACTGCCAGTGATTCTAAACACATTTCTGCCTCCATGCTGTAATGGTGCTTTTATTTTTTTTCAATGTAGATTGTTTCAAGTGTCTTAACCTTTTACAGCAAATTTTATTTTTTTTCTAGAGTGGATACTGCCTGACTACCTAGTATCTTAAAGTCATTGAGTATATGATTGTCTGTGAATGTATATTGCCTTATTAGGGCAGGAAGCGTACATGCGTTTGTGTATGTGTGTGTTTGCGTGCAGTCATGAATGTGTGTTCCTTCTACAGTTTTCAGTGAAGCTGTTAGCTCTCTAAGACTTTCTTCCAGCCCCAGGTTGTTTGTAAAGGGATGATCCTGCAAGAAGCAGATGAGGTTCTTCCTGAAATTGCAAATTGGACTTCTCAAGAGCTTGTGTCTTTATAGAACTGTTTTTAATGATACAGTGAAAGATACAAGATCTAAAAAAATTGTTTCTACTTAAGTGCGTGTTGGGTAGGTTTTTTTTGTCCCTAGGTTTTGGGAGGAATCCTAACATGAAATGCTGTACTTGTGAGCTTTATTGAAAGAAGTATGTTATGTGTCCACTTTGTAACATGGCCAGCATATTGAGATGGATGCAGTTCTGATTTTCAAATAAATAGTTATCTATTATCTATGGCATGGTCTTGGTTAATATATCCTCTATTACAGGGGTCAGCAACCTACAGCTCATGGGCCAGATCCAGCTGGTTTGAGCAGCGAGGGACTCTGCTCATGCTGCAGCCAGGCTCCTGGGCCTTGATAGAAGGGGAGTTCTTCCTGTGGTAAAACGTAGGGAGAAGGTAGCAGTGGTGGCCAGGTCCAAGTGCTTGCCCGTCTCGGACCCAAGGTGGGTCATTCTGGTCCCCTGCTGGAAAAGGCTGCTAACCCCTGCCCTATTACAAGGCAACTGTGTGCTTCAGGGCAATTTTGCTGTATTCCAAAAACCTACATTTCCATTTAGATTCAGTAAAGCCTGTAGTGACTGAAAGTTACTTACTGGTCTATGGTATTTTCAACTCAAAAGGTAATTTTTAGAGAGCGAGAGATATTGGCTGATATATTTAGAAAATAGGAAGTCTCCTTGAAGGAAAAAAATAAGTTTTAGTTTTTGGTTTTGTTTTACATTAGGATAAAACTGGGATGTTTGGGTTTTTTTGCACAGATTTTTTCCAAAATATAGAGTCTGTTACCATGGTGTAACCAGGTGACTAGAGTACTTGCTTGGGATGTGGATTTTCTGAATGACAGCATGGCCCTGAACCTAGGTCTCCTATATCTTGGGTGAGTTAGTTTTCCTTTTGAAGGTTAAAGTTACTAACAAAGGGAAGATAAATGGGGACTTGCTTGTGCTCATGGCTAGGCACAGGTTGTGCAGTCTTTATAGCTGTATCATGGAGGAACCTTTAATGTACACTGAATACTCCATATGTATGATCTTGAAGATAGTATGGCATTTCTTTCTCATGAAAGAAATATGGAGAGGCCTAAAAGCCAAGGCCAGGGGTAGGGCACTCGCCTGGGAGATAAAGGGGATAGGCTCAGCTCTGGTTGTTATGCCTTCAGCTTGGCTACCCAATCTATAAGACTTCTTTTGAAGTCCCCTCAAGACAATTTCCTTCGTGGGCATATAACTTGAGAATTGTTGCATCTGAGTAGATCCCTCCGATGGTTCAATTTTTGTAATGAATTTTTCAGACAGGCATTTTTAGCTTGGCTTTTTACCAGGTGTCCAATGGACAACTGGCAACCCTGCAACCTAGGGGAACACTTGCAGAAGCAGGGGGATCAGCTGACTCCTTCCCTGCCAGTATCAGCCCTTGTGACCCACCCATAGCACCTCCACAGCCCAGCATTGCGAACCACTGCTCTAGAAGACTGGATCTTCACTCCGTTTTAACTCCTGTGTTTATAGGCTTATTTTGACTAGGTGGTTACATGCAATAGTAAATCACGTGAAACAGCTCCTAGTCAAAAGCCTTAATCAACAAAAGGCCAGCTGTGTTCAGGGCAAAAATGCTCAAATATAGCCTCAGTGGGGAGCCTAAGCTTTAGCATGAGCTGTGCTGGGGGAATTAAAGTGCAATTTGCCCTGTCCTAGGCTAGAGGTCTAAGTGTTAAACTTTCATAGCTCAATCCTCCTCCATATGCATCTTTAAGTCCAGGCTAATTTGAACAAGCTGCCTGAGGAACCAGAAGTCTTACCTACGTTAGCACAACACTCCACCCAGGATATATACTAGCCCTTGTATAGACGGCACTGCTCTGACATGGCAAAATTACTTCTGGGACTGAAGCAGCTTGTTCAGAGCTAGCTCAGGTACCTCTACATAGCACTGCACTGGGCTATAGGGTCAACCCTCAGTTAATTACCATAATTTCTATACAAGTGCTGGCTGGCATGTATACAGTTATGTTAGCTGTCATAAAGGGTACCATTTTCCTCACCCCAGACCCTGTGTCTACAAGTTTTTAGCAGCTGTCCCTCATGGGCTGGGTTCTGTGCACTATTCCACAGCACAAGGGCTGTTCAATGACACTGCTGTCTTGGATTGTCAAAGGACTCAGTTTATTTATCTTTGCATAAAGCCACAGCGTGTCACCTCATAGAGGATATGGGCTACAGAAAGGTACCTAGGACTCTGCTCCAGGATATAAAAGCACGTTTTGGTTCTGGGCTGGCTTTGCCTTAGGGCAGATGTTTGAGTCTCACTTCTACAGCCAGAGTCTAACTACAGCAAAAACAATCCCCCTGTGGACTGCATTTCAGCTGGAATTTATCCTGCGCAATATCTCACAACCTACCAAGCAAGGTGTTGCTGTTCCATTGTGGGGCTCAGAAGGTAGAAAGCAAAGCCAACAGCCTGGTTGCCAGTGTTACATTCAGTCCGGAAACAGAAGAACCAGAAAGAGGTTCTGGTTGCTTATCCATCAGCCTACCACCCCTCCTGCCCCACATGGGGAAGAGCTTGGGTCCCTCGGATGTATGAGCTTGGCCCCCTACAGACACAGCCTTCCTCTTGCATTTGTTCTGCTCATCATAGAAGCCGCTCTTCTGTCTCCGTTCTGCCCTAGTTTGTCATGTGCAGAAGTCGGGGAGAATTTCAGCAACTCTCCGCCGCAGCTGCTCCCTCCTTGCCTCTTTCTCTTTTTCCTCCTTCATCAGGGTTGGGTATTGTCTCCAGGCATGGAACATGGTCAGAGTCATTCTCCTGTGAGAGACATAAAGATAGAAAGAATGGAAATGAAATGGGGGGAGTGGAATGGATGATCTTGCGCCCACAGGCATCAAAAGCCTCTGCTCTATCACAGTTTATCTATAGTTCCTCCCATAAAACGCACAGAAAGGATTAATCTCTATTGCTACAGCTAGGGCAGTGAGAGGTTACAATGATCTAGTGCAGGTGTCTTAATTGTACCTGTCAGTCATTCCAGAATAATAATGTACTACTCTTCTCGGTCACCTGTCCTCAGAGGACCCAGCTCACCTTTTCTGGTTGGATTCATTGGACAGTGTTTACTCAGTTCTCTGAAGAGAGAGGATGCTACAGAAAGGCTAAAACAGGTCCTATAAAGTGTAGGGGGCAAGAAGGACAACTTTCCATAATGTAAACTGCTGGCTAACAAGCCCACTTACTTTCCCTTGGCCTGGGTCCTTCTCCACGCCTCCAGTTTACTATGCCTGTTACGCTGATCCGAGCACCTTCTTAACTCTACTTATTAGCCATGTAAATCCACCCTGATGTTGAACTGAGAGAATGCTCTTCATTGACAACACCATTTTTGGGTTTGGTTTCCCTGGATTGTCCCAGGACCCAGCAGTGATGGAGCTTGTCTAGGCTGATCCTATGTTTACTATTGTATTTAGAGGGTGTAGACAGATACGTTACATTGTTTTGTTTTTTTACACCAATAGTAAGTTACAGTGATGTCCACAGCCAAGAGGTGACCAGCTCTTCCCAGGTAGTTCCCCACAGCAGGCAGTAATACAGTACCTTGCTACCAGGGACAGGTAGCTGATTCCACCCTGTTTTGCATCAAGCAAATGACTACCGTGGAACAAAACTGATGAGAGCTGGAACTATGCCAGTGTAACTTAGGTTGCTGTATCATTATTCCAAACTCTGAGTAACTCCCCCAGTGTAGATTGATTTACACAGGTATAGGACTGTACACTATGTCTACTCCATATTTACACTGGCCTAAAGGAAGATTACACTAGTGTAATTGTGTTGTGTATCTGCACATAGAAAAGTGAGTGTGATTCTACATCTCTGCTCTGTATGGTCTTTGGCACTGGACAGGTAAAATATTTAAATCAACATTATCAGCATTACACCAGTGGAGGAGAAAAAAAAAAAGTGAGCAAAAGATGCAAGCCTCTAAACTTGGGTAAGTTTCCCCTGAAATAAGCGGGATAAATCTTTACTACTATAAGTTACACCACTTTGGATGCTGTCAGTCCACATCCATCCTGGAGTAGCTCTTGGCTCGTCTGCCCCCTAGTGGCAAAGCACATTAACAGCCACCTATTGTGTGTATTACCCTGGGATCGATGCACATCTGTTGGTTCCTAATCCAAGTGTAATTCAGATGTATATAAAAACAATCTAACCTACAAAGAGGTATGTGTTAGTCTCCCATGGCTGTTGACATTTTGTTACAGCCAGTAAAGCAAACAGCTCAGGGCATAGACCGACTAAGCTGTGTCCGTTCAGCTTTATCATTAACAAAGTCATCATTTCAGACCTTTGCAGAATCGGGTATGAGCAGAAAAGGCAGAACCAGCTGGATTCTCAGACTGCAAGTGGAGGTTACAGCTAAGTGTGTTTGCATTTGTAAACTGGGCCTACTTCAGCCTAGAACATTGCTGAGTAAGACCAGTGCTGGAGATCACATAATATTATTCCTTGACACATTCTAATGCCACTTCAAGGATTCTCTAAAATACCTTTTTAAACAGAAGCCATGCAGCCAAATCCATTAGTGGGCTTTAAAAGCTTTAACCATTCACTTCCTGCTGCCTTTTTCAGCAACTTCAGAACTGTTGGAAAGGGTAGGGGCCACTCCCTCCACTCATCTGCAGGTAAAGTCTCACCTGAGGCAAACACTGCTACTGACAATTCAAGGCAAGTCATGAGTAGGGCCCTGAGAAAATTGTGGATTTCTCGTAGAAAATTCATGGCATGTGTGTGGCTAAAGTATAATTTTTTTTATGGAATATTCATGAAACTACATTGATCTTGGCAAATGGGTCCCGGTAGTTCTGTGAAAAATGATACTTTAGCCATGCACGTGCGGCAGGCATGCACACCATAGGCACCAGGTCAGGGCTAACGGGGCTTAGCCTTCCCCAAATGCAGGGCAGTGGTGGCATAGGCTCTGGGCAGCTGCAAGGGGGGGGTGGGGGGAGGCATGCACTGACATAAAGCCGGGATCACACCCCAGCAGCGTGCAGAGCAGCATCCACAGCAGGCAAGTCTGTGAAGGGGAAGGGGTGTGGTGGGGGAGGGGCAGCTCGAGGGCCCCACAGTGAGGGGGAGTGTGGGGCAGGTGTAAATGAGGCCCTGGATGGGTTGTGGGAAGTTTGGAGCCTGGGCAGCTTGTCCAGACGCGTGGGGGGGAGGGCTCCCACCACTGCACATGGCACAGGAGGCACATACCCACAGGGTTTGTGTGGGGTGAGGATGGACTGCTGCTGTGAGCTGGGCTTTGCGCCCCGCTGCCACTGCCTTGGAAGCTTTATGAGCACTTGTGGTGCTCTGGCGAGGTGCCAGAGGACTGGAAGATGGCCAATGTGGTTCCCATTTTCAAAAAAGGGAGGAAGGAGGACCCAGAAAATTATAGGCCTATTAGTCTTACCTCAGTCCTGGGGAAGCTCTTCAAGAAAATTATCCAGGAACACGTCGGTGAGGGACCAGCATGGGAGTATATGCTTAGGGGCAACCAAGCTGGTGGCCTTCTATGATCAGGTCACTAAATCCTTGGATGCAGGCATCACTGGATGTAATCTTTCTGGACTTTAGAAAAGCCTTTGACACTGTCTCTCACCCCATTCTCATTAAAAAATTAGGTGATGGTGGTGTCGATCCCTACACGGTCAGATGGATCACCAATTGGCTGCAGGGCCACACCCAGGGAGTGGTGGTGGATGGGTCATTTTCAACCTGGAGGGATGTGGGCAGTGGGGTCCCCCAGGGCTCAGTCCTCGGGCTCCCACTGTTCAACATCTTCATCAGTGACTTGGATGAGGGGGTGAATAGCACCTTGTTCAAATTTGCAGATGACACTAAGATGTGGGGGAATGTGGGCATGCTAGAGGGCAGGGACAAGCTGCAATCAGATCTGGACAAGTTACGGGGGTGGGCAGGTGAGAATATGATGGGTTTCAATACTGACAAGTGCAAGGTGCTGCACCTGGGGAGGAAGAACCAGCAGTGTACCTACAGGCTGGGAACTCCCCTCTTGCCAGCACAGAGGCAGAAAAGGATCTCGGAGTCAATAATGACTCAAAGATGAACGTGGGCCATCAATGTGGGGATGCAGTCAGAAAGGCTAACTGCACCTTTGTCATGCATCCACAGATGCATCACGAGC